TCCGCCTCCTTTTTCTTCTCAAGCCCAACCTCCTAATTTGCCTCTCTCCTCCTCTCGAACTACCGAATCTACTTCCAATTCTTTTTCACCTGCACCTCCCCTCTCTCCGAACTCAGTCACTATGTCTCAACCTCACTCCTCTCCCGACAAAATTCCTCCCATAACAGACCCGCAAATCCCCTCTACATCTCTATCCAGCTCTACCACTTCCATTTCCTCTCTTCCGACTCATCCTATGCAGACTCGTGCCAAATCTGGAATTTCTAAACAGAGGAAAATTTTTAATCTCTCTCATTCTTTTCATGACGAGACACCGACTTGCTATTCTAAGGCTATTCTTGACCCTCGTTGGAAAGCGGCCATGGCAGATGAATTTAATGCCTTGGTCACCAATCACACGTGGGATCTTGTACCACCTGATCCTTCTAAGAATTTAGTCGGTTGTAAATGGGTTTTTAAGATTAAGGAAAAATCTGATGGAACTGTGGAACGCTTCAAAGCTCGCCTCGTTGCACAGGGATTTAAGCAGCAAGCTGGACTGGACTATGACGAGACTTTTAGCCCAGTCGTTAAACCCACTATAATTCGGGTTGTTCTCTCTATTGCAATTTGCTCGGGATGGGCCATACGTCAACTTGATGTCAAGAATGCCTTCTTACACGGCATCCTTTGTGAGGAAGTTTACATGCGCCAACCTCCCGGTTTCTCTCATCCTGAATTCCCGAATCATGTGTGCCGTCTCCAGAAAGCCATCTACGGTTTAAAACAAGCTCCACGTGCATGGTTTCATCGCTTCAGCAGTTTTTTATTATCTTTGGGCTTCATGGCGAGTAAGGCCGATCCTTCATTATTCGTCTATGCTTCTTCTCGGGGCCGTGTGTATCTCCTGCTGTATGTTGATGATATCCTTGTCACCGGTGATACTCTTGAGTTATTACGGTCTTTGATTACTCGACTCTCACAGGAATTTGCTATGAAGGATCTTGGACCACTTCACTATTTCCTAGGCATTGAGGCTCATCACCGCTCTGACGGTACGCTTTTATCTCAAGCCAAGTATGTTGATAGTCTTTTGCGCAAGTTTGACCTTGTTAAGGTCAAGCCTGTATCTACTCCTCTAGCCTCGAAGACTCTATTGTCTGCTAATGATGGTGAGGTTCTCGCTTCTCCGACGTTGTATCGACAAATGGTTGGTGCTCTACAGTATGTATCTATGACCAGACCAGATATTAGTTTTGCTGTTAATTTGGTTAGTCAATTCATGCATCAACCACGATTACCTCATCTCCAGGCCGTCAAACGTATATACCGATATTTAGCTGGCACCTCCACCCATGGCTTGCTCATTGAGCGGGGTTCTCCCACTTCCTTGACTGCTTATGCGGATGCAGATTGGGCTGGATGCTCCGATACTAGACGGTCCACCTCCGGGTTTTGTGTTTTTCTAGGCACCAATCTTGTTTCATGGAGTGCCAAGAAGCAACCCACCGTGGCCCGTTCTAGTACAGAGGCTGAGTATCGTGCTGTCGCTCACTGTGTTGCTGAGACTATTTGGATTCGTCATTTACTTCGTGAGCTTGGGGTCCCCCTTTATAATCCTCTCACCGTTTATTGTGACAACATCTCTGCCACCTATCTTGCTATCAACCCTGTGTTTCATGCTCGCACCAAACACATTGAGTTGGATTACCATTTTGTTCGAGAACGGGTTGCTTCCGGAGATCTCCATGTTCGCTACGTGCCTACAACAGATCAATTGGCAGATATCTTCACCAAGGGACTACCTAGTCCGCGTCACGCGTTATTAAGATCCAATCTCTCAGTTGTTACACCTACTTCGGATTGAGGGGGAGTATTAATGTATAATTATATGTATTATGGGGTATTTATGTAATTATGTTTATATGTGTACCCTTTCTGTAATTAGTCACTCCTATAAATACATATCATACAACCCTAATTAGGGTTGAGCCACCATAAACACTTTGTCGTTGTTTTCTCTCTGACTCTAAACATCAACAGTTCCAGGTATCCGATACTGTATAGGGCCAATCGGCGCCCATCTTGTAATATGTGTAAGGGTAAGATTCGTTAAGCCGATCACCACTCTTGTCATAACAGTCGTACGATTTGCATGCACCAACGGTTATCGTCCCGTTCTCCACAGATATGTCGGACACTGGACTATTACGACCGAAGATCAGTTTCGGGGGAGCCGAAGTGCGGTTGCAGAAGAGGATGAAGTCGGAGTTCCGTGCGCAACTTTCGTTGAGCCCGAATGGGAAAGGCACGCTCATGTTCCCGCACATTCGGTCGCAGTTGTCGTTCTCGGTAAAAGCGGCCAAGGCCAAGGCCATTGGAAGAAAACACAACACAGCCGCTTTCATCTTTATGTTTCTCCAATCCGTGCTTCCTCTGGCTCTCCTCTAACCGTTTTTTATAATCCTACTTTCGCTGATGCCGATGCCTCAGTGGCCGTTTCTGATTTTCGACATGAAAATTGTAATGAGTGCGATATATGATTGATCCTGCCTATAAGGGAAGAGATTCAAGGAGCAACTTCTCACATAATTGCCACTTTATCCTCCACTGTAACTTCTCTAACTTCCACTTTCTTCTTAACTTATCCCTGTTGTTTTGTACACTAATTTGTCAACATTTTTACTAATATTTCATTTACCAATGTAATTTGAGAGAACAACCACAAAGTTTAAATACCTCTTCCCCTCCAGTATCTTGATTGTAATCTCCTTCAATATACTTATGTTCTTTCCTTACATTCAAGAAATTTTAAAACTTAAGAGGATAGTAGGATCTTACCTCTGCACTTTGTGAAAGACATAATTTATCCTTAAGGATACTACCAGCACACCTCATGCGTTTTGATTTTCATATTTTTCGTCAGTGGTTCTCTAAATTTTTTTTAAATAATCTGGGGACTCAATCATAATTGGCCAATTATATGGAGAGAAACTAATACAAAAACCCACTACCATGACCAGTCACTTAAAGTTGGGTTCCCTAGGGTACGAATCGAACCCACAACAATCGATTTTATAAGCTGAAAGCATAAGAGTGTCCTTATTACTGGGTCAATTTCAAGGTAGGTTCTCGGAATTTCACGATCCATACAATATACATAAACAAAATAGATCCATTAGTATGTCAACAAGAAGTGAGGACATGGGCTCCATATCAACATTGGGGAAGACTTGACAAGTCATTGTAGCAGCCGGACTTCACAAGTCGTCGTCGATTTGGACGTTCTGACAAAAAGGAGGCGGCATTCACTCATCACAAGCAAGCCTTCGTCCCGCTATGTACCGTGGAAAATTAACTAAGAAAAATGACATTTTGGAGAAGAAGAGACAAAGTCGTCCTTTGCCAGTTTTTTGGTGCGTTTGATTCAGCATTCCCAAGGGGCTTTGAAGGAATGCAAATATCTATTGGTTAAAGTCCCTTAGAGAAATGCAAATAGCGTTTGCTAAAATTTTCATTTATGAAGTTATTTTGATCTAAGTAATGTTTGACAATTTTTTTTTTGCAAAGGGCTTTGGGATTTTCTTTCTTATTAAAAAACAAGCTTACCCTTCGCCGGAGCCGGCGAAGAGCTAAGGTCGCTGGCGAGCTAGATCTGGCGTTGGCGGCCGTCGCCTGAGGTCGGTCAACCCCTGGCGAGGGTCATGCGACCCAAGCGCTGTCGCTTGGAGTCGTGCGACCCAGGCGGCTGTCGCCTAGGGTCATACGACCTCAGGCAACGGCCACTTGGGTCATGCCTTGCCGGCTCCTCGCTGGCCTTTCGCCGTCCCAATCCGATATTGTTGGTGCCGCCCTCATGCAAAGAAGATGAACAGTAATAACAAGGGGCAAAACCGGAATATTAAAGAATAAGTAAGGGTAGTTTGGAAACAAAAAAAATTAATTTCAGCGCCCAAAGCTGGTCCGGACCAGCTTTGAGCTTTGAGCATTCCTAATGCTGGCTTTCGGCCGAAAGCCCATTGGGAATGCTTGCCAAACGGTTCAGCATTTCCCCAAGGGGCTTTCGACGGTGAAATATTGAACCAAATGCACCCTTGTCTGTCGTGTAGACATGAGATTTGTACCTTTTCCTTGCACTGCCCATGGGAAAATGCAATCCGCTAGAAATTATTATCTATTTGGTGTGTAGACATATGTGAAAATCGTATGCTAAATTCCAGCAGGATTGTCAACATTGAGTGCCCCTTCTCATCCTTTTTGCTATGCAAAAAAAGAAAGAATGCAGAATTAGATTCTATGTGAAATAGGATTTCTCTAAAAGTGCGGAATTGCATTACCTATCAATGGCTAATATTTAGATTCCCATTCCACATTCGTAACCGCACACGCACAAAACTATCAAAAACTCAACTCAATTACTATCGCCGGCACTGCTAGTCACTGCCCGTTGCCGCCCTCGGTCACTGTCGCCGATTTCCACCGGTCACCACCGACATCGGTCTCCACTGCCGCAGGTGAGAAGCATTCTTTATTATATGGCCAAAACTTTTTGCGATCCATATAATTAAAGATATCTTCCACGGAATGAGATTAAATTACATATAAAGTGAGAGAATCTCTCTGTGAATATCTTGTCATGGAATCAAACAACCTCTAAAAGTTGCAATCTTATCGTGCAATTTGGTGGGGATGGAAATTCTCAAAGCGGATATTTTATAGTGTGAGTAGATTTGTCATTCTTGCACTCCTGCAGCTCTTGCTTTTCTATGAAGCGGCATTGATTCGTTGTGGAGACAAAAAAGTCAAAAAATTCCGATGCAATGAAAGAGTAGGAAATTGCCTTCGTGCTTTATTGGGAAAGAATGTCGTCTATGTCAAACTGCAATTCAAAAAAGCAATTTCCCATGGAATTGTTCGAATACATATTGGACGGAGCAATGTTTCCGTAGTTACTCGTTCATTTAATAAAATGGGTATTTGTCCAGAGCTTTGGAAACTATAGCTAGAACTGAAGTGAGTACAATCATATATAATCCCCTAGAATCATCCCTTATTAAAACTTCAAAATCGCAAATTAATCTACTGTAAGAAAAAACAGAACCTTAAACAAAAGATCAGGATGAACATTCAACCATTGGACTTGTTTCTTGTGCATAACCATACACTAGAAACCACGAATCAAACGCTGGAACTAGTAGTGGCTGCTTCGATGTCAAATACCAAAAGATTAGTTGACTCCGGTTTATTCATCTCACTGATTGAAGTCCAGAGAGAATCACGTCTCGTCTCCCCGAGTAAACTTTGAGCCTCTTCGTCATTCTGTTGATCAGCCCACAAGTTCTTGTTGATCCTAGCCAGTTGCTCAGCCACTTCCCTCATTGTAGGCCTTTTGACTCCATTATAGTTTAAGCACCTTTTAGCAAGTAAACCGACGCCTTCGATCTCCTGTAGTTCACCTTCATTGGACGCCTCGAAATTTATCATATGGAGGAGTGTCCGGTTCTCCACGGCGGAGATGAAAGATTGGATGATGTTGATTTTTTCCCCAGATTTTGCCCGCTGAGTCGGCATATCTCCGGTGAGGAGCTCCACGAGGACGACCCCGAAACTATAAACGTCACTCTTTGTGGTTAATTCACCAGTGATGAGATACTCAGGGTCGAGGTAACCTATTGTGCCTTGTATTCTTTCGGCTATATGAGTCTTTCCAGGTGAAATCAAAACTGAGGCTCCGAAATCAGATACTTTTGCTGAGTACTTCTCGTCTAAAAGTATATTAAGAGACTTGACATCGCTGTGAATGACCGGCGGCTCAGCTTGGGAATGCAAGTACTCGAGGGCTGAGGCAGCTTCCGAGGCAATCCTGAGGCAATTCTTCCACGATCTCAGAACAGTCGATCTCTTGTCATGAATGTGGTGATAGAGAGTTCCATTCGGGATGAATTCATAGACCAACAATGGCACTTTTGTCTCCAAACATATGCCCAATAGCTTGACCAAGTTCTTGTGATTCACCTGTGAAATGATGCCGATTTCGTGCAAGAATTCATCGTGAGTGCTCAGAGACACGTCCTTGTTCATGTCTTTTAGCTTCCTGACAGGGACATCTCTAGGTTTCTTGACCGCGACTAAAATGTCGCCGTCGATTCTTCCTCTATAAACTGAAGCAAAACCACCCTCACCGAGCTTGTTGCCAGCATCGTAGTTGTTAGTGGCTTTAGCCAACTCTGCCTCAGTGAAGATTTTCACTCTCTGGTGCTTCAAGATCTCTCCTCCATTTTGCCTAAAGTATCTCTCTTTAGCTCTTCTCTTGCATATGAACAAGACTAGGCCACTAACAATTATGCACGATGTTGCCGCTACAATGGCTGCCACACAAAATTGGGAATTGGATGGATTAGCTTCTCTTCCAAGCCATTGATTTACTTTGATACATAATGAATTGGGACCTTCTAAATTTAAGAACTAAATTTTGATATTACATTTACGCCTTTAAATACTTGACACATCAGCCACCAATAGAGGATCTCGATTAAACAATACCAAAAATATGCCTCCAACTTTACTGAAATACACTTCCATTTTTCCAAAAAAATCACATATAAACACGCGCGAACGCACCAATCAAATGCCCAACTACAACTGTTGCTCTCCCTCTGGCCACCCATTGAACCACCGTAGCCTACCACCACCTTAGCCATTGGCCGTCAAATGCCCGTCGAAGCCACCATGCAGCCAAGATGAGGGCCACCACGGTCATCAAAGCCCCACAAACCCCTTGTTCCCTCTCTCTCTCTCTCTACAGTAGTCACATGTCAGGGTCGACATCCTTGGATCTCATAATTGATCAACCTTTGACCCTTAAGATCAGAGGTTGAAGGTCCCAATCCGAGGCGTCAGTCTCGAATCGAACCTGTAATGGTTTCAGCAGAGATGAGAGAGAGAGAGAGAGAGAGGCTGCAATGTGGAGGCGGCAACACTGACAATGGCTGAAGGCGGCTAGCTGGCGGTGGCTGATAGAGGCGTGCGCGGTGGGTGGTGGTGACCAGTGATCTCTCAGTCGCAATGTAGAGTCAGATGCAATTTCAGAACAACTTAAACATAAGTCGGATCAACAGCATGTGGACTCGTAGTCTAAAGCAAGAATAGTTTAGATTATTAAGCGACCATCACAAGGGGAATTAGAATTACCTGCAGCAATTATGGCAAGACGAGAAATTTGGCAACCGACTTTGCCATCACCGGTCATGCCAAATGGGCAGTTGCATGTGTAGTTCCCAGGCTTATTCTTGCAATTCCCATGACATGGATATTGTTGTGGATCCTTGCACTCGTCGATGTCTATATCAAATAGAATCAACGTTGAACTGTAAATGGACGTTTACGTGCTTTTTCGCTTCGTAAAATTAGTAATGGTCATATTGAAGCATTTAACTCAATTCACTGAAAAACTGGTTTGAGGATGTTGGATTGTGGAAATTATGGGCTCAATCCAAACATACAACTGAGCGCAAAGAGAGCAGAATAATACCTTGACATCCCGGGGAAGATGGGTAGCCATAGGGATTCCCCATGTATCCATCCTCACAGAAGCAACGATAACCCTGTTCGTTCTTGAAGTAAGAGCAGAAGCTGTCGGCGCCGCATGCATAGGTTGATAGGTTCAATTTTGCTTGCTCGCAGGTCAAATCCCGTTGAACTACCCAATCCAGGACAACCTTTGAGTCAATGTGTGCTCGTATATCATCTGGGACAGGAAGCTTGTAATCGGAGACATTAAACAAATACTGGTCCACTACGAACGCTGATCCACAAGAGCTGAAGTTCTGAACTGACATGTAATCGGTCGTGCTTCTCGTGGATATATTGATGCCCCTGAGGCTCTTGGGGATTGACGTCTGACAGCACCCAAGGCCAGAGCAAGCACTCTCGGCTGTGAAGTCGATGTCCTCGCGGCAATAGGAGGAGCATCCACTCCCGAAAGTCCCGGCAGTGTCCGAGATGAGAGCCGAGGTGTCGCAGCCAAAGACTGTGAGCTTGTTCCTGGTGTCCGATAATGTATAGTGCTCGTCTTCGTTCATCGTGAACGATGTGTCAGGGTACGATTCGTCAAGTGGATGGCCACTCTTGTCATAACAGTCGTACGATATGTATATACCAATGGTGATCGTCCCGTTCTCCACAGATATGTCGAACGCCTGAGTATCATTGAAAAGGAACAGCTTCGGGGGAGCCGAAGTGCGGTCGCAGATGAGGACGAAGTCGTAGTTCCGCGCGCAACTTTCGTCCAGCCCAAATGGGAAAGGCACGCTCATGTTCCCGCACATTCGGTCGCAGTTGTCCTTCTCGGCAAAAGTTGCCAAGGCCAAGGCCATTGGAAGAAAACACATCACAGCCGCCTTCATTTACCTTTTTCCAGTCTCTGCTTCCTGTGGCTCTCCTCTTCCCGGTATTCGTATATCTAGTCTCAATGCCGATGCTTCAGCGGCATTGAAGGACCGAGTCGTTGATACTGACCCGAGGGAGAGAGATTGCTGCGCTTTCCGGCAAACCATATTTTAAATTCGCATACAAGTCAGTAGATATTATCTATATATACAAGTGAGTTCGTATTCACTATCATTTTCACTCGAAAAGAAAAATTTTAATGTCGTAATTATCTCACAATGTAAAGTATTAAGAGCTTCTAACACGAGAAAAATCAATTCCGTGAATTTACAAGTTTCATGATTGGTTATTCAATAAGTACTCTTGGGGAACCTTTGAAAATGGAAAATTGTCCAAAAAGTCATAAACCTATTGTATTTTTGTCAATTCAGTCCTAAACCTTTCAATTTTGCCAATTGAGTCATAAACCTTTTCACTTCTTGCAAATTGAGTCCATCCGGCCAATTTTGGCCGGAAAGTGCTGACATGGACATCGGCTAGCCTACGTGGCGTTGACGTGGATAATTTTAATAATATTTTAATATTTTTCGAATTTTTTTATTTCTTTTTTCTTTTCTTTCTTTTTTTTCTTCCCTTCTTCCTCCTCTAGTTGGTTGCCGAGTGTCGTTAACCAGCCAGAGGGAGGGCTAGCAAGGTCGAACTCGCCGGCCTCGGGTGAGGCTCGGCCTCACCATGGCTAGATCGTGAGGCTCGACCTCGCCCAGTGACGGCGAGGCTCGACCTCTCCAGATCTGGCAAGATCAAACCTCACCCAGCCATGGTGAGGCTCAACCTTGCCGGCCTCTCCTCTCTGGCCAGTTGCCGATTTCCGCCAACCAGCTAGAGGGGGAAGAAGGGGAGAAGAGAGAGAGAAGAAAAAGAATAGAAAAAATATATATAAAACATAAAAATTGAAAAATATAAAAATATTATTAAAATTTATCCACATCAGCACCACGTAAGCTAGCCAGCATCCATGTCAGCGATTTCCGGCCAAAATTGGTGAGATTGACTCAATTGGCAAGAAGTGAAAAAATTTAGGACTCAATTGGCAAAAAATGAAAAAATTTAGGACTTAATTGGTAAAATTGAAAGGTTTAGGACATTTTGGACAATTTTTCCTTTTGAAAATCAATTAAAAAAGAAGTCTATCAGATGCATACGTAACATAATTATCAAAAAACTAATAATTTCAACGTTCCAACCTCTTTCGTCTTTTCTCATTCTCTGTTTAAACATATTTGAAGATGTCGTATATAGGATTATTTCAAAAGGCTAGTACCATTTGACGTTCGACTAGCCGTTAGCTAACCGCCGTGACATTTGTTAACTGTTGAACAAGCCATTGCCTAGTCTTCTAGCCATTTTAACCTGTACTCAGGTAGCTGTTTTGTTACGTCTACCGCCCTGACCATGTCATAAGCAAAGCCTTTCCCGTACATTTCCGAGATTGAGGTGCTTACGGGTCAGAAAATACCAACGCCTTCGAAGATTATTACCAGATCGCCATAGAAGAGACCAAACCCCAAGGAGCTGCATGCAATATAGTCAAAGGAGATGACTTACAAAGCTAATTTGGTGCAAAACAACCAGCACCAATAGAGGCACACAAATAAATTTTATAAACATGTTTATTGACTACTTATATATGTAATGCTAAATTAGGACATGTTGATCAGTCATCTGTACAGAAAATGCATTCTATGGGTTTGATTTCTGGTATGAATTCTGATAGCGCGAGTAAATGTGAAATTTGTGCTGCGACTAAACAGATTAAAAAGTAAAGTGCATCCGTTTGTAGAGAATCTGCAGAATTAGACTATTTATACAAACTTTGGTGACTTCAAAACTGACCATAATTAGAGGTGGTAAGATATATTATGGAATACCCATTGATTGCCATTCTTATTATTTTGAAAATGTTTGCTTAAGAATAGAGATGGAAGGTTTTAATTATGATCTGTTACATAAAGTTGAAGTAAAAAATCAGTTGAATAGAAATTAAAAGAGTTAGATCTGACAGAGGGAGGAGAGTATATTATATTTAGTGATTATTGTGAGATTACTCGTCCATATTCACCCAAGTCAAACGGTATAGCTTAATGGAAAAACACAATTTTTAAAGAGATAATAAATGTTCTAATTGTTAATACGTGTGCACTTCATAATATGTGAGGTGAACCCACAACCACCCACTTAAAGTTGCATTCCTTAGGATAGGAGTCGAATCCACAATCATTGGTTTTTCAGGCAAAAGCATGGGACCGTTCTTACCATTGAGTAAACACCCACTTAAAGTTGAGTTCCTTAGGGCAGATTTCAAAGACACAACAACCATTTCTTCTAGCCGAAAGCATTGGATGCCCTTGCGATTGAGTCATTCCCAACGTAGGTTTTAAGAATATTTCAATACAGGATATGTAAACCGGATAAGACCTGTTAGTATTCTAACAATCTAGGTTGTGACTACGGGTAATGTTGCGCGTGTAGGAAGTTCAGATCCAACAATGAAAAAGTCTGGCTCCATAGCATCAGGAGGGGATGACTTGACAAGTCATCGGAGAAGACGGACTTCACAAGTCGTCGTCGTTTGAACGTTTCAACAAAAGAAGGCGGAGTTCACGATCACGAGCAAGTCTTCGTCCCGCGTACCGTAGAAAATTCATCAAGGAGAAAGACATTTTGGAGAAGAATTGACAAAGTAGTCCTCGCCATATTTTGTTGGTCTGTAGACACGAGATTTGTAGCTTTCCTTGCACTACCCATGGAAAGATGCAGTCTGGGATTAGAAGGAAGGTGGACCCAAGAAAGTTTCTTAGTCCTCTCAAATATTAGCCGATATTTTATCAAATTTTTACCCAAGTCCAGTTTGAGGACCCAACTGCCATGCACGATCATCCTTTTTACTGATATAATTAGTTAAAATTACGATAATATAATATACTAATTTATATCACTTTCTAAAAATATTAGAGTAGTCCTTGCAGGAGAAGTGACAAAGTAGTTCTTACCAGATTTTGTAATCTAGGGACACGATCATAATTAGCAGGCTATGGAGGAGAACCAACACAACAACCTACCGCCATGATCACCCGCTTAAAGTCGAGTTCCCTAAGGCAAGAATTGAATGCACAATCATCGACTTTTTAGCCGAAAGCATGGGAACGCCCTTAACATTGAGTCAATCTCAAGATAGGTTCTTGGAATTTTACAATACAAGATCCGTAAACCATATAAGACCCCTTAGTATTTGACAGTCTAGGTCGCAAATACGGGTAATGTTGAGCGGGTAGGAATTTCATATCCAACAGTGTCAAGTGAGAGCACTGGCACCATAGCGAGCTGGGGGCAAGACTTGACAAGTCGCCGTCGTTTGGACGTTTCAACAAAAGAAGGCGGACTTCACAAACCTGTCTTCGTCCCGCATTCATTAAGAAAAATGACATTCCGCAGAAGAAGTGACAAAGTAGTCCTTGCCAGTTTTTGTTTGGTACGTAGACATGAGATTTGTCCATTTCCCTACCACTACTCATGGGAAGATGCAGACCGCAGGAGTTCCTGTCCATTGACGGAGTTCCTGTCCATTGAGGATTAGAAGGAAGGTTGACCCAGAAAAGTTTCTTAGTCCTCTCAATTATCAGCTGATATTTTATCAATTTTTTATCCAAGGCTAGTACGAGGACCCTACTGTCACGCACGAACATCCTTTTTACAGATATAATTAATTAAAACTACGATGATCTAGTATACTAATTTATAGCACTTTCTTAAAATATTAGAGTTGACCTTTCTGTTAATCTTTCCGTTTTCAATACAATATATGATCTATGTTTGTTGTAACTAAGTTGGAAAATAGGCTCACGATTCTATTACATTGCATTCTTTTGACAAATTAGTGAGAAAAAGCATAAAGCACTAATGTAAACAATTAAGGAAACTGGTAATACGGTAATTATAGACTTCTAGATGCGATGATAAGTGAACTTTTTTTAAAGGAAGAGTTATGTGCATTATTTAGTATATGATGCAATGCTACATTACGTCTAAACATAGGTTATTAAAAATAGATATGTGCTTTTTTCTAATATCGCGACACAATATGCTTTTTGTTCTTTACCAAATTTCAAATACCGTCAAAGTGGTGAACATTAGCATTTTAGATCATGATAAATCTTTAATTGATTCTGAGCAAAATACTATTCGTTTCAACATTTGAGATCTTCGGCTTTGCAATTTCAATGATTCGAGTATACACCCTTCCCATCGACTCATTGCCTCCTAATCCAAAAGCGTAACTTCACCTACAACGATATTCAGCTGCAGACAAAGGCTCTCCAAAATGTGGGGATTAAAGAGCCAAATACATATTACGTATCTAGTCTACTCTCTAATGCAAATTACTATCAGGCTGTTGTGTGTAACGTTTTTTACATTAGACATTGCCGGTACAACTCCATAATCATAATCATAATGGCAATACTTGTGAATGATTTCACTGAGAGAATCACGAATCTAAAGATATTATTGTTTTGTAAGTTTATATTACATAAGTCTACTACGTATATCCTAGATTAAAATCTATTTTTTAATTATGTCTTTTCAGACATTTTGTAGTATTTTGTTGTTGAGGTTTTAAGAATGTGTTTTAATTTCTTAGACTAAATTATATTGTTTTCATTCTAATCTAGGAAAAAGCGTTACTTTTGTTTTTGGTCGCAGGAAAAAGCGTTACTTGTCTATTTCTTCTTTTATCTTTTTTCCGAGGGAGAGGGGAGTAGTCATGGCCATGGGCCGGTTTTGGCCCGGAACCGGCCCGGGTCAAACCCGGGATCGACCCGTTGACCGGGCCCGCGGTTCGGAACCGGAATCGGCCTGTGGCCTACGGGCCCGGTTCCGGTTCCAAAAAAAAAAAAAATCTTCTGCTGCACAGCATAGCAGCCCCACCCCCACCCCCACGTTCCCACCCCCAGGCCCCACCTCCAAATCCCTCCCTCTCCCCTGCGCCTCCTCCGCCTCCGGTCTTCCCCTTTTCTCTTCCGCCCGCCCCCCGTCTTCCCAGATCTGACCCCCGCCGCCACCGTCGCCCCCGCCCA